CATATCCCCAGGTGTTAAAAAATTTAAGGGTAATTAAAGTTTCCCTTCAACTGTGAGTAGCGTTTTAGACACCCCAGCAGTCCGAGGTTATATCGGACTGAGACCCAGGTCTCTAGTGTTTTAACGCCCCTGTAACCTGAACTTGGTCCTTGACAGTTTGGGAAGCTGGAATTTATATCCTTGCATGAATCCAAAAGCTTCGCAGGACTGTTCAATGCTACAAACAGACTGGAAAAATTTCACCTGCTACTCCAGGAAAAAGTAAGGATGTGTGTTTGCTGCTCAATCTGAGTATACTTCCCTAGAAAAAGAAATTCCAAAGGACATATAGCATATGTCAGGTACAGGAGACAGGAGAAGGATCGAATTTATTCTCCCTGCATAACAACAGGGACAATGTCGTAGTGCGTGCACTCTGGAGCCAAACTTGGGTTCAGAGTCTGGCTCTGCCATGTGGTAGCTGTGTGACTTTGCACAGTATATTTAACCCTTTCTCCCTCAGTGTTTTCATTCATCAACATGAGAAAATTACAATGCTGATATATTTAACGTTATTATGGGAATTGAATTCATTAGTGTAAACAAAATGCATATAGAACAATCCCTGGAAAATTATAAAAGCTTGAAAAATGTTATTTGTGGCTTCTGATACTCCTCCTCCCCGTCCTTTTCCCCCTCTTCCTCCTTCTACTGCTACTATCCTAGAACCCCACAGAGAATACACAAACAATTCCACAGGGATATGTCCAGAATTCAGTGCACAAAGTAACAGAGTTTAAAAAAAAAAAATTCTCCCAGAAGTTAAACTCATAATCAAAAGCCCAACATGATAAAAATCAGTAGGCCAAATAAATCGGAGTATCAGCAATCTCAAGAGCTAAAGATAATAGAAACTACGACCCAAACTATAAAATATATCAAAAAAAATTCTCCCAGAAGTTAAACTCATAATCAAAAGCCCAACATGATAAAAATCAGTAGACCAAATAAATCGGAGTATCAGCAATCTCAAGAGCTAAAGATAATAGAAACTACGACCCAAACTATAAAATATATCTCAAGTATTAAAGAAATAATGTTAGTTAAAATAAGAAGTAATGAAAAGTAGAACTAATTTATAAACATTTAAAGAGAGTAAGAACAGTTAAGATTAAAAACTTAAGGGATGTTTTACAACCGATTAGACACAACTGAAGAAAAAATTAATAAATTAAAAATATCTAAAGAAATATAAAACAATACAAACACAGAGCGAGATGGAAAAGTATTGAAGAGGTTATAAGACATAAAAGACCTAATGAGGGTGTCCAGCATATGTCTAATAGGCATTCCATAAAAAGGAAAATAAACAGAATAAATAAGACAAATATTAAAAAATACAACAGGTAAGAATTTTCCCAAATTGAAGACATGAGACTTCAGATTAGGAAAATAACATGTCTTACGTAGACTTATAAACAAACCATCCCACGGTTAATTATTTTGCAGTGAGCTTTCAAAACATGAGACAGAGAGGGAGAAGGGGAAAAAGGGAGAAAAGAGAGAAAAATAGGAAAGAAAGAGAAGAGAGGGAAATATTTTAAAAACAATAAAATCAAAAAGACAGATTACCAACTAAAGATCCACAGCTAGCCAAAAGGTGTCATAAAAAGGAATAAAGTCCTGAAAGAGCTAAGAGAAAATGTACTGTCAACCTCAAATGCTATACCCAGCTAAATGTGCATGAAAAAAAGATATTTTCAGACAGAATTTACCACTTACACAGCCTAGATGAAAGAATACTAAAGATATACTTCAGAAAAAATAATGATAATAAATAATTTTTAGGAAGGGAAATCGAACTCAGATATAAGTGGAGTGTCAGAAGTATTTGATAAATAAGTCATTAAAACTAAATATTTATTGACTATAAATAATAATTTTGTGGAAGAGGAGACAGAACTTCCCACCAACTTACCTATTTCTTCATTCTCTGTTGATGGAATCTTAGAGGTTTCTGTGATTTTGTAGAGTTTTAATTGCTAGTTAAGAACAGAGAAAGGGCTGGCTTGGGAGTGGGAATTGTGAAGGTTTTTCACATGTGCAATACGTCATTGTTTTTCTCAGAGTTTGTTGTGGGCTCCAAGTTATCTGAATTTCCACTCTCGTCATCCATTTGTCACTAAAAATCCCATTTCATTTAAAAAGAAGCCTTTCTAAGCTACAATATGAAAGATAATTTGGTGGGAGACATTTGACAGAGTAAAATCCTCAAGCAGGGGAGAAGAAACGATGATGGTACCAGATGCACAGGTGTAGAGGTTGGCCTCATATCAGAACATTGTTCATTTAAGCTAAGTAAGAAGTAAGTCTGAGTGTGTGGGTACAATGCAACCTGGATTGTTGCTGAGGTTGTGAGAGCTGAAGACATTTTCTTTCAATTGTACGGTTTTCACAGTCAAGTGGGAATCAGGCCTTCTGCTGCGAGTGAAAGAGGGGGAAGAGACATGAGAGTTCTGAGGAGAGAGAAAATGTGACTAAGTTATAGATTAGGGGACATAATGGAGTTGACAGGCAAAACTAAGGCTCCACTTGAAGGCATATTTAAAGTGAGACTAGTTATTATTTTCAGGTGTATTTTCTACCAGGTTTATCTCCCAAATGCAGACACAAAGGAGGTGGAGAGCTGGGTTTAATCAAGGTTGGAGTTTTGCCAGGTAATTATGATGAAGAGCAAGAGGGCTGCTATGGGTTAAATGTGTCCCCCCAAAAGTTCATGGGTTAGTTCAAGTGTTAGGAAGGTGGGAAATACAATTATGGTATATGAACAGAGGGGCCTTTGAGAGGCGATTGGATCATGAGGACTGCACCCTCACGAATGGAATTAATTCATTCAGGAAGTGATGAGTTATAGGCATGGTTTCAATGGCTTTATAAGGAGAGCAAGTGAGAAGGTTAGCTCTCTCTTCCTCATGTCATTCTGTTCCCATGCGACACCCTACATTGCTGTAGAGAGTCATCACCAAGAAGGCCCTCACCAGATGTGCCCCCTGGACTGTGGACCTCCCAGGCTCAAAATCTGTAAGAAATAAATTTCCTTTCTTTGGATATTACCCAGTTTCAGGTATTCTGTTATAAATGAAAGGAAATGGGGCCAGCCCGGTGGCACGTTCCTTTCTTTGGATATTACCCAGTTTCAGGTATTCTGTTATAAATGAAAGGAAATGGGGCCGGCCCGGTGGCATGCTGGAGAGTGCGCTGCTTGGGAGTGCGGCGGCGCTCCCACCGAGGGTTCGGATCCCATGTGGAGACCGGTTCCCGCTCACTGGCTGAGCGCAGTGTGGGCACGACACCGAGGGTTGCGATCCCGTTGCTGGTCAGTAAAAAAGACAAAAAGGAAAAAAAAAATAAATGAAAGGAGATGGAATAATACAAAGGCCAAACATTGATGATGCATATAAGGCAATGGCTACTGGCTGAGGTAAGGCTCCCCCATGAAAGTTGAGGACTCCTAAGAGGAGATGGTAGATACCTCTTCCTTCTTCCTAATTTGATTTGGTGCTCTGGCTCACAGACTATGCTTTTAAGTACATGACAGAGAGCTGACTCACTGTGTCCAGAAAGGTGATAAATTTTGGGGGTCTTG